ATGGTATCACTATCACACTCTTGCACACGTGTGCGACACGGTCTAGGCAGTCGCCTCGCCACAAAGCGAGAAATCAGAATATCGTTACGAATCAATGTTGCTACTGAATATAGTGCCTCAAGCTACAAAACTACTTTGCTATGGCTTTGTAACATGAACAAAGTTGCACCTCGGGGCTTAAGTCCCGTTCTCAGAACGACGTCGTGTCGCTGGCGACACAGTTTGACATTTCAAACAACCAAACCAAACCAAACCAAACAACCAATGGGAGCTGTACTAAATTTAAAATTGACAGCTGTTTGAACTTTGTACAAACCTGATTGGTTCTTTTGACGTGTCGCTGGCGATAGTCGCTGTTCTGAGAACGGGGCTTTAGATTTGAGATTGAATTTAATTATTTGAATAAATTTACCGAGAATTTTAATTTATGATGGGAGATCTCAGTGACTTTTTTAAATAAAAACGTATTACAATATTTTGAAGGGATGCGACGCATCACCCGCATCAATGAAAGCTTCGCCGCTGATTTTGCATAATCTTCGACATTCGGAAAGCAGCCAAACCAGGCAGTCAGTTCTGTCAAGAAATGCATCTCTTAAAAATTTTAAAAAATACCGAAAATACGGTATAGAATGGGGAAAAGCGTAGATCAAATAAATGTCATAAATACACTCCGTATAGTCGTTGTTCAATATTGGAATGACGTTTACCTTTTTTCTTGATATTGGTTGATTCTGAGCATGCGTTTGATCATGAAATACCAATCTCTTTGACCAACCCTCAGCAGAGCTAGTATTCCTAATAAAATTGTAAAAATCATAAAAGCGCTCTGTATTGTAAGGCTCAATGTGCAGTCTTGCCTAAGGATCAACGAAGTGAATCCATCAACATTCGGAATGGGGTGAAGCAGGGTTGCGTCTTGTCGCCATTTGTTTTAAATATCCTCTTAGATGATATTCTAAAGGGAAGACTTTCCAAGAATCATCGTATAATATGGACTCCCTTTAGCATGTTAGAAGATCTTATTTATGATGCAGATAATATATATGTCCTTTCTCATAGTCATGGGGATATGGCATCAAAACTACTTAACTTATCAAAAATAAAGCTAAAATTGCAGGTCTTAAGATCAATATTAAAAAACCTAAATCGATAAGAGTTTGTACCAACAATGTCTCTTCATTTATCATTGGAACAACGCTTATAGAGGAGGTAAATCATTTTACTGACTTGAGTCTTCTTCTTCTTCTTCGTCGTCTCTTCATGTCTGAAGAATCGTGACATTATGGCTATGTGCAGTTGGTGACTTTGATCTTCCATCGTTAGTGATCTTCCGCCTCTCGGAGATTTGATTGAAATGGATGACCTGTAATATTTGCTATTTGGTCAAGCCATCTCGATGGTGATCGTCCTCTGGGTCTTCGACCTTCTACTTTGCCTTGTACTATGATTTTTTCAAGGTTGTCTTCACCTCTGAGAGTGATATGACCGAAATATTGCAGGATGCGTCTACGGCAGATGGTGGATAATCGATCTGTGATGCCGAGTTCATTAAGAATTCACTGGTTCGTTCTTCGAGCTGTTCATGGGATATGGAGCATTCTCCTCCAGCACCACATCTCAAATGCATCTATACGGTGTCTATCAGCGCTCTTGACGGTCCATGACTCAGACCCGTATAGGAATATGGAGAACACCAAAGATCGAACAAGGTTTTTTTGGTGTTTTTAGTAATGCTCCTATCTGTCCATATTTTTCTTAGGCTCATCATAGCCGTCCGTGCCATAGCTATACGCCTTCTTATCTCTATTTCACAGCCCCCATTATTTGTTATTAAAGACCTAAGTATATAAATTGATCTACTCTTTCTATATTAGGGAGGAGATTGTGTAATCGAACTGCACCACTTCTATTAATCAGCATGAGTTTGGTTTTATCAGTGTTTATTTCTAGACCAAGATTATTGCTTTCGATGGTAACTCTTTCCAGCAACCGGGCCATTTCTTCCTCACTTTTCGCTATCAGGGTGGTATCGTCCGCGTACCTGAGGTTGTTTAGGATTTTCCCGTTCGCTAGGATTCCTCCTTCCTCGCCCTCCAAAGCACGTCTCATGATGTATTCACCATAGGCATTAAACAATCTGGGTGACAGTATACAGCCCTGGCGTACCCCTTTTCTAGGTTTGAAAGGTTCCGACGATTTGTTATCTAGGTTGACAATTGCCGTATTATTGTCATATAAATTGTTAATAAGAGTCACTAGATGATTCGGAACTCCCATTTCGCTCGGAACCCTCCATAGGCTTTTCCACCTCACACAATCGAAAGCCTTCTTGTAGTCTATAAAACACAAGAACATAGGCGAATTAAATTCTCGGAATTAGTCTATGAGTTGACGTATGTTAAATATTTGATCTCTTGTGCCTCTTCCTTTCACGAATCCGGCTTGTTCAGGAGGTATTTCAGGCGTCAAGTACCTCTGAAGTCTTCGGTCAATTATCCTAAGTAAGATCTTGCTTGCATGTGACGTTAGGGATATTGTTCGATAATTCTGGCATTTTTGTGTGGATCCTTTTTGTGAATTGGGATGAAAGCAGAATTAGTCCAATCTTTAGGCCATTGTCGAGACTGCCATACTTTATTGCAGATGTTATGTACTATTTTCACACCTTCCTCCCCTATCAACTTTATCATTTCAGCTGAGACATCGTCTGTTCCTGGGGTTTTGTTTAATTTGAGGTGAGTTATGGCCTCTTCCACTTCGCTCTTCCATATATTTGGTTCCAGTTCGTTTATTATGTGAGGTACTTGAACTTCGTTTACTACGTCTACTTCGTCCTTGTATAGTTCTTCGCAATATTGTTTCCATCGTTGCAATATGTCCTCGTTGTTCCACAATACTTCTCCATTTTCGTCCTCGATAGTAGTTGTTTTAGGTTTGAATTCCCGAGTGAGTACCCTTACTTTCTTGTATAAATCTCGTGTTTGGTTTGAATTTTGGTGTTCTTCAATTTCACTGCAGATTTTCCTTACGTAATTATTTTTATCTTGTCTGCATTGTTCCTGGATCTTCTTGCACAATCTTCTGTAGGTTTCTTTAGAATTTTGTGTTGTTAACCCTTTCCTTTTTATTTCTTTCCGTTCCTCGATTGTGTCGAGAGTTCTTTGTGTTATCCAGTGTTTATTGGGTCGTTTTGTGTTATGACTTCTGGATATAACTGAATCTGCTGTTCCTTTCATGAGACTTTTAACGTTTTCCCATTCTAGGTCTGGGTCTTGTATATTCATGATGTTATTAACATCGTTAACTAATTTTTGCTGTATTTCCCTTGGAACATCTCTTTAGTAGCGTCCGTAATTGCAGCTTTTGTTTGTGGTTTACGGATATTCTTTAGACGTAACCTAAATTGCATTACTAGCAGTTGGCGATCCAACCAGCATTCAGCACCAGGGTATGTTTTGCAGTTTAGTATGGACGACTTCCAGCGAAATCTAACCATGATATAGTCAATTTGATTTGGTTTGGTTTGGTTTGGTTTAGTTAGTATAATCTAAATCGGAGGCATAGAGCTAGATCAGATATCATAAACAGTAAACAGAATAAACAAGGCCAGAATAACATTTGAAATGCTCCACAAATATAAAGCAAACTAAAATATCAGTGATATATTTATTATAATTATTTCGGGTCCTACAGTTATCTCGGCAAAATAAAATTGACCGGCTAAATTGGTGCCTTCAACATCAAAACTGGACAACTGAGAATTGGAAAAATGTTCTTTTTCGGATGAGACTAGAATTGGTCCAAGATCAGATGACCATCGAATTTGGGTTCTCAGAGCTCCAGGAAGATGAGCGAGACTCCAGGCTGCCAAATTTGTGCCAAGATATAAAAGAGGAACTGTAATGTTCTGGGGAGGTATTATGCTGGGAGCAAAAACATTGTTATCCCTTCAACAAACATTAACAGGTCGGAGGTATGTTGATTTAGTGCTAGATCCAATCGTTAGTCTTTGGAGATCTGCAATTGGGTATAATTTTAACTTCATGCACGATAGTTCACCTCCCCATACCAGCAGAGTGACTAGAGAATGTTTTGAAACGGAAGGTGTCATAGTTTTGGACTGGCCTGCATGATCGCCAGATCTAAATCCTGTCGAACACTTGAGGGAGAAGTTCAAAAGAAGGGTTAGAGGTTAGAGCTCGTCGAAACAATCCAGGAAATCTCGCACAGCTTATTGATGCAGCATTAGCAAAATGAGAAAATATACCCCAAAAGACAACGTTGATAATTTAATAAGAAGCATGCGGATAGAAGCTTGCATAAGGGCTAGAGGTGGCAACAAAGATTATTAAAATTATCAATTTTTTAAAGAATTTCCAACGTTGCAAATGTTATAAAAATATTTAAAAGTAATACCCTCGAAGTAATTATATGTATATCAAGAAAGCATGGTTACACTCGTTGAATTTGACGCTTTTGTGTTGACGCATATTTTCGTACTTGTGCTTAGGCGTAAAAATGCTTTACTTTTATGCATAGACGTTAAAATTACTTTTTTGTATGGCAATCACGTCGCAAAAATTAATACTTTTGTGACGGAGTTTTTTGTGTAGAAGTTTTATAAAATGTCTAATAAAATTTGGATGAAAATTTATTGCTGGTTGCTGTTGATAATTTTCCAAGGGAAAATACATAAATAAAAAAGGACAATTTGTTCGAAAAAAGGACTGTCCTTTTCAAAAAAGGACATTGCGGAGTTAATGTTGCTATTTAACGCTGGTTCTGTGGATGAGCGGGTGAAGTTTTCCCTCACCACCGGATTGAAATGATTAAGTCACAGTACGCACTTTCAGGTCAGCTTTCCTTATTGCCACCCACGAAAGGGTCGATAGCGATCCTTCTTTGCCGAAGCCTGCGCCCTCGAACCTTCGCCGCCAACCGTTGCCGCCACCGCCAAATCAATATCGCCGTCGTCGTGATGAACTACCGCTGCGGGCACCGCCACCACCACCGCCGATCCTAGTCCGTTCGAAGGGGGCGCCCCCATTTGAAAATTACCAAAACAGGGGGCACGTCGGGCCTCTGGGTCGTGCGTTTATGTGATAAGGGGAATCGGGGACGTCGTAGTCTCGCCGACGTGGTAGCCAGCCATGCAGCCGCCTCCGAGGAAGGTGGGCACAAATTGTTTGAGCTAATTTGTCATTGCACGTTGCTCTTTTTATGTTTGCTTGCTGGTTTTGCCGTTGATTTAATAGATTATATTTTTTTGATTCTTTAGTGGATTGCCCAGAGATTTTTACCTCGGAATTCAATTACTATAAATGTATTAATGTGAAACCTTCTGTATTTTATTTTATAAATGAAATGCTAAAATGTTTACCCATTTTTTTTGTTGCTTTTATTTTTTTATTTTAGTAAATTCTTAGTTATTTTCTTCTTTTAATTTTTGGATATTTTTAATTTATTTTTCTAAGTAAATTTATTGAAATAAATGAATCTAATGCTTAAGCTATACCTATATAACTGAATCTAATGCTTAAGCTATACCTATTCTGCTTATATTCTAATCATTGAAATTTTGATTGAAATCAAATTATACAGTTGGGACAAGGAGAACAAAAGTTTGTATTGTAAGTCAATTTAAAGCATTTTCTAAAATTATATCTAGTTCTACAGGGTGTTCCCAAAAAAAGTTACACATCAAAGTTGGTTTTTTTTTGTAATGGAACACCCTATATATTAATTGATTTTCGGATTCTAGCAAAAAGATAAAGACGAATTTCATTAGAAAAGTATATGACTGAAATGTATAGTTTTTGAAATACATTTTCACCGGCACGAAAAATGGGCACCTTAAAACTTTGATGTATTTTAAAGTTTAATTTATTTTGTTCTAGTGAATCCGATTTTGATGATTTTTTAATGATAAGTGTTTTCTATTATGTTGTTTACTGTTTTTGATCATGCAGCCGCCTCCAAGGAAGCTGGACACAAATCACAAATTAGAGCTAATTTGTGACTGCAAGTTGCTCTTTTTATTTTTGCTTTATAGTTTTATCGTTGAATAGACTTATACAGGGTGAGTCTTAAATAAGCGCAAATATTTTCAGGGCTGGTAGATAAAAGAAACATATTTTCTCTTTACCGTTTTTCAAACAAGTCCAAAATAACCAAGTTAATTTACTTTGAAAATTTCCAAAAAAACATTTTTTTTGCTTAACTTTTGAGTTAGGTTAGGTTAGGCTAGGTTGTTTGAGATTTTCATTCTTCTAAATTTAATCTATTACCTATGTTGCCATATATCAAGAAATTATTGTTTTTAATTAAAAACTAAAAAAAATTTCAAAATGTTTTCAAAAGATTTCAAATTTAAAAAAAAGCTCATAATCGTGTTTTTGGGGTCAAAATATACCACCTCTAAAAATATTGCCACTTATTTAAGACTCACCCTGTATAAAACCTTTAATAGATGTTTATTTTTTTTTATTCATACATAGAATATAGAATTGAATGCGTGAAAGATATAGGTGTTTAATATTATTTTATTTATTATTTTTTCCATGCAACCTTCTCCGGCGAAGATGCTCACAAAATAGAGCAAATAATGTGCAAAATACCCGCTGTTTTTTTTAAGTTTCCTTGCTTGTCTTAAGCGGCGTTTACACGATGCAAGTTTTGCTTGCGCAAATACTTGATTGCAAGTACTTGCAATTGAACATTTTAAAATTGTATGCTTACACTAGTCAAGTTATTACGCAAGAACTATGGATACCACAGAGATTGTTAAATATGGTGTAAATATTTAATGTCGTACGTTAAGTAATGATTTGCGTACTTTGTAGCATTTAATTTGTGTTATTTATTTTATTTCTGTTAATGTAATTGTCGTCTCTGAGAAAGGAGGACATAAATTAGAGCGACCATGCAACTGTGCGTTGTTTCCTAGTTGTTTCTTTTCAAATACTTACACAAAATTCAATGCGTTAAAGACATACATCGTTTAATTTCTGTTATTTTTCCTTTCTATCCATGTAATCGTTTGGTGATCAACAAATGTGGAAATACACATAACTTCTTTTAAGCTTATTTGCTAGTTATAAACGTATAGTCGACTATGGGGAAGATGAACACAAAGTAGAGCCACTGTGTAATATCGTGAATTTATCATAAATATCATATTGTTACGTTTTTCGTCGGTTCCGTGTGGATAGAAAGTCACAATTTATTTAAACACTATTTATTTAACACTAATTAACAAAAACAATAACGATAAAAGACTTAAAGAACTATTTACAAACGATTTATAACTAAGAATTTATTTTAAATTTTAGCGCGTCAACTGTACTCGTCTATTATTAACTGCCCTCTTTAGGCCACAGCCGCCGGCTTTTATACCTACAGCTAAAGATTTCTAGAATAGTCCATAGATCGTTAGGTGCATAGAGAAGGTTTCGATTGTTCTCGTATGTACTACCCCATTCCAGTGGAACTCGATTTTTCTCAAACGTCCGAATGAATCATTACGGTGTCTATTCTTTAATGCGATGTGAAGGTCATCTGAGGGCGGGACATAAAGTTAGGTTAGGTCGAGTCCACACGGGTCCGCAACAATATGATCGAAAAAAACCGCGTCAAAGTTGGCGTGAAAATGAAAATCCCTGTTATTGTACTTGTGAAATTATATGTGGACTGACCTCTAATTATCAATCCTCAAGGACCTCAAGCCATATTTACAAAAAATTAGAAATTTACAGGTTGCAATAAAGTTGAATGTTTGGCGTGTCTGGAAAGGTTATACAGGGTTTTACTTTTATTACCTTGTTATACCTTTTTTTAGTATATTTATATGGGGACATATAAATATAGTAAAAATATAGTAAATATAAATGACATAGTTGGCGCACTGACAGAAAATATTATCATAGCCTTTGAAAAGACACTATTAGGTGTTTTTTTATCATACAATATCAGTCATGATTAATGATATTAAGTGTTAATCAAAATAAATAAAGACAATGGAGGTCCGAAATCCTTTTATTTTCAAAACTAATACACAGCTCGGAATCTTTACTACCAGAAATCAACAAAAGAATTAAGTTAGCATGGAGTACTTATGGAAGAAACTCAATCATATTCAAATCTAGAATGCCACGCTATCTAAAATAGAAAACTTTCGACCAATGTGTACTCATAACGTATGCATGCGAACCTGGACGCTTAAAACGGACATTATAAGGAAACTTTCGTTAGTTCGTTCTGTGAAGGAAACTGTAGGTCGCAAAACGCGCGCAACGGAACGAAATATGCTGGGAATACCCAAGAGATACCGTAAAAGAATAGGGTGGATACGACAAAAGACCAAGATAACATATGTCATCCATAGAGTCAAATCCCCAAAATGGCTATGGGCAGGACGCCTGGCAAAAAGAACGGACAACAGATGGACCACAAAAGTTACAGCATGGTACCCATGAAAAATTAAGAGACCTAGAAGAAGACCGAACCTGAGATGGGACCTTGATATTAGGAAATTAGAAGGGATAACCTAGGCCCCCATAGCCAACAATAGACAACAATGGGCCCAACTACAAAGAGAGTATCTAAAAAATATGTGAGGGAGGCTACACCATAATTGGAAATTGTAGAATAAGCTGAAAATGATGATGATGATGACACTAGAACAGGAAATTAGTTATTTTTATAGTGAAATTACTATTTTCATTCAATATGCCATACAAACGCATTTTATATCTACCTACTTAATGTTATAAATTTTTCGTCATACTATATTGTTATATTATTATAACATAAGCAAAATCAGAATGGAAAAGATGCATATAACGTCCGCCGGACGTTATCATAACGGCCGGCGGCCGTTAAGTTTCTAAGGTAATCGTAACGTCTGTCACCTGCAACAATGACTATTTATTGTCAGTTGGACTTTTCAAAAATTGGGAAAATAGACCATAGCGAGATGTCGCGAGAAATTCCGTTGGAAATACAGGAGGAAGCGGCTGCGGCTACTCAAAATTATACTTCCGACTATAACCAGAGAGAGATATCAGCAGGAATATGACAATTTTTTGAAGTGGCGGCAGGATAGAAGTATAAACAGCGTAAATGAAGCGGTATTGCTGGCTTATGCTAAAAGAATGTCTGAAATGTATTCTCCTACATCACTGTGGACAAAGATTCCATGCTGAAGCTTGCGTTGAGAGTATATGAAAACATCGACATATCAAGGTAAAAGCCATTATATTCTTCGATATTTAATCATACTCATCTAAATTATATTTGTTCATAGATTTGGTAAACTGTTCATGTTTCTGAGGCGCAAAAACGAAGGTTATTCACCAAAAAGCCAAAGTTCTGTCGGAGAATGACATAAATAATTTTCTACTGGATGCCGATGATTACACCTGGTTACTCGAAAAAATTGTATTGGTGCTTGGTATTCTTGGAGCTTGTAGGCGCAGCGAGCTTTGGTCACTCACAGTTGATGATTTCGAAGATTCGGAGAAAAATATTCTTGTCTCATTAAGAAATACTAAAAATAAGAAAGATAGGAAATTTCTTATTCCAAAAACGGGCCTTCCGTTTGATGCCTATGGTTTATACAAAATACATCAACCTGCGTCCTCGTAACTTTGACAATCCAAAATTTTTCATTGGTTACAAGAAAGGCAAGTGTGTTAAGCAAATCGTCGGTATACATACCATCGGGAGCGTACCGCAGAAAATTGCAAAATTTTTGAACTTGGAGAATCCAGAACGTTATACAGGGCATTCATTTCGTAGATCATCAGCAACCATGCTCGCCGAAAATGGTGGTGATTTACTATCGCTAAAGGAGCTAGGAGGATGGGAGTCTTCAACAGTGGCAGAAACTTACATAGAAAAATCAGTTTCAAAAGAATGAAAATAACAAATCAACTTTTTTCATGATAGCTCCAAAAATAATGTGTCTTTAGTGGATACAAATATTTGCCATTCTTCAGTAGCATCATCTTCTTCTATAAAATCTGTAAATCCTGGGAAGGATTACAGATTTCTAAGAACAACAAGTGCACTTTTAATTTCCATGTTCATTATCATGAAAAATGAATTTTAGTATAAGACATTATGTATTTTTTATCCTTACTTGTGTTATTGTTCAATAAAATTTGATATTAAATAGTAGTGTTTATTGCTCTAAAAAATCTGCAGTATGACGAAAAATCTAGAACGCAACACGGCCGATAACAAATAACGGCCTTGGCTGCTTATGATCCTCGGCTATCGCCTCGGATCACAAACTTCAGCCCGGCCGTTATTTGTTGTTTATCGGCCTTATTACGTTAATAACTATAACTATATCCATTTTAACCTAATATATAACATTGTCTACGTGTACGTACGATAATCTACAATTATTTATATTAACTATATTACTACATCCCAGTATTCGGTGTGAACTAAAGCCCTCATAATTTTTAATAAAGCTTACAAGAATTTAGTGTTCTGTATTGATTCACAAAACGAATAACTTCAGAGAGTAGGTCAACTTTAACCAGACTAACTTGAATGGATTATTCTAAACTGAAAGGTTAATAAAACAGTGAACTAATCGGTTTAATTTTTGATCTACAGGGTGTTGAATTTTTGATAAATCCTCTTTATTTATTGCACTTTTTCAAGAATTGGAATACCGTATCATCGAAAAAAAAGGCGTCAATGATGGCTATGAAATGAAGATCGCTGTCATTTTATATGTAAAACTAGCGTGTACCAGCGACTTCGTTCGCGTCGAATTAATCATTTGTAATGGTGATGATAAAGCAAAGCAAGAACTTTCAGTTTATAATCATCTGCTGATGATGCTAACATGGTTAGCGAAACGCGCGTCCAGTGTAAAAGTAAAAGTGTTTTGGTGTATTGTGGTGATTTAGTGTTTTTATTTTGCTGTGTAACACCAAAGGTTCCAACCCTCAACTGTAATATGAGGGGTAGTTTCATCTTAAAAATAAGCTTTTTATCTCAAGCAGTTTAAGCAGAATCGTGGTTAAGAAATTACCTAACTTTTTGGACCACCCTGTATGATTTTTTTTTAAATTTCAAAATATGTAAAAAAACCAAATAAATTATGCTTGTCCAAGCGTTTTCCCGAAAGACTAACCGTTTTTTAAAAAACAAGTATTGTAATATTTGAGGGGCGTTTTCACCCTCTTGGAATTTGAGATTCAAAAAACCCCTCCTTATCGAACCTCTACACCCCACAGTCAATCCGTTTGCCAAAAATCAGCTTTAAACGTCAAGTAGTTTAAGCAGAATCGTGATTACTCAATGGTCATATTTTATGAAACACCCTGTATAAATATATAAAAATCTTAAAATATGTAAAACAACAAAACTAAATATACGTGTTTAAGAGTTTTTCCGAAAAACTCACCGGTTTTTAAATAAAAAATATTTTAATATTTGAGGGATAGTTTCACCCCCTTAGAATTCGAGTTTCGAAAAATCCCTTCTTATCGAACCTCTACACCCTAAAGTCCATCAGTTTTCCAAAAATCAGCTTTTTACGTCAAGCGCTTTAAGCAGGATCGTGATTAATCAATGACCAGATTTTTCGAAACACCCTGTATACATTTTTAAAAAATCTTAAAATATATAAAAAAAACAAAATAAAATATATTGACCGTTTTTTAAATAAAAAATATTGTAATATTTGAGGGGTGGTTTCACCCCCTTGGAAACGGAATTTCGAAAAATCCCTTTTTATCGAACCTCTACACCCCAGAATCAACCGGTATGCCAAAACTGAGCTTCTTACGTTGAGTGGTTTGAGCAGGATCGTGATTAATCAGTATCTCAGTCACTTAAGGATTTTATATATTAGTACAGATTATATAGTTAATTAGTTAATAGTTAGTTAATTATAGAATGTCATCGATGTCTAAGCAAACTGGACTTTTTTCGATCATACGGTATAACAATTGCAACATGTCAAGAAAAATTGGAGTTTCCATAAAAATTTTTGGAAATTCAGGACAAATGAGCTCTGAAAACCATAGCCGCAGTTGTACATTTTACTACTAAAAATTCTTTGTCGCTAGACGAACTGCTTGTATAAAACATCGTTAAGTTTTCAAACTCTAATAAAAATTTTAGATAATTAAATAAGCGTGTTATCACGTGGCGTGTTACAAATGTGTACCTACACCCCTTCCTACGTCGCAACACCTGGGCTCATTGCATAGAAAATTTGGAATTTTTTTAGTTTTTAGTTAAAAACCATAATTTCTTGATATATGGCAACATAGGTAATAGATTAAATTTAGAAGAAAAAAAATCCTAAATAATCCCAACTCAAAATTGTAGCAAAAAATATATTTTTTTAAATTTTCAAAGCAAAATAAATTCTTTTTTTTTGGACTTATTTGAAAAAAGATAAAGAGAAAATATGTTTCTTTTATCGAGATCTATCACCCCTTAAAATACTTGCACTTATTTCTGGGACACCCTGTATAGAAAAAAATAGTATAAGAAAGAAATTGTGAATATTCAGATATTTTAATGGACATGCCAAATTTTGTATATGGTGTCGAAATAAATAATATACAGTATGTCCCTGAATTGCCTTTACAAGAGGAAACACTTTTTTGTTATTGACATTTTGAGAAAAATGCATTCTTCTTAAAAATTTTGTTTGTTCTAAAATGGTTATACTTTTCCAGAGTTTTCCATATCGTTTTAGAGAAAATAAAAAAATGTCTTAAAAATCAAAACGCACTGTGGTAATATAATTTCGTTTTTATTCTTTCATAGGTTTTCATTGGTAGAATTTTAATTAAAGTCATATTTTTTGCTGTTAAAATGTTAAAAAAGCACAAAATTCATTTAGCTCAATGCTACGGAAAGGATGATGATAGTTATTGGAAAACGTGACGCTTTAACAACAACAAAAAATATGAGGTTAAACAAAATTAATGATAACCATCTATCAAAGAATAAAATCGAAATTATATTTCCATTCTCAATTTAACCATATTTTTTATGTTCTTTTTAGTTTTCTCTAAAATGGTATGGCAATTTGGAAAAGTATAAACGGGATTAACCATTACAAACAATTTTTTTTATTAAGAATGCATTTTTCTCAAAATTTAAATGATAAAGAAGTTTTTCCTCCTTTTTTGCAAATATTGACATTTATTGCATCCAGGATATAAAAATAGATGCTTATGAATTTAGAAAATGTAATAATAACAACTTAATCACAAGATTAGTCCTAAATCTTTAGGTTTGTTTCGATATAGATCAATAATTTGTAAAGACATAAGATTGATAACATTTATAATAATCTTATCTCGCATGTTGTTCGAGAGTTTGGGTGAATTCTTACTTGAAACAATAGTATCGGACAATTTTTAATAAATTTAGTCAATTCATTGAAATGCTAGTTTGATTGTGTCATCGCAAAATAATGTCTAACGAGGTGGTTTATTGTTTAATCCAAATAAAAAAATAATAACAATAGATTCCGTTTAATTATGTATTATTTTGATTGTGTATATTCGAGTGTTTTAATTTGTATTATGGAATTTTTGGCTTGTTGGTGATATAGTGTTTTTATTTTCAGGGTAATTTTGCGAAATTTCTGAAGAATCTCCACTCGGAACAAGTGAATAAATTAGTGCTGAAAAATCAACACGAATGTGACCTTTTGGAAGATATAAGGACGTTCACTATCAAAAGGTCTGCGATAGAAAAATCATATTCAGAAGTAAGTATTATACCACTTATCGCTGTGTCATTAATTTATTGTATATAGCGTCCACTTGAAATAAATCCAAAGAATGCTGTCAAATAAATCAGTTCTAAAATAAATCGAAGTTTTGAAACAACAGATTTTTTTCAGATAGATAATACGAGTACTAGATTTAAATCGTTATGTTTTTGTTTTACAAAAATCACCCTTTAATTTTTCTTAGAAATTTCGACTTTTGATAAAAATTCCTTCCACTCAACAAACTATGAAAAACTAGTCAAAATTTAAGTCTGTTGTTTTATATACAGAGTTGATCAAAAATGTAAGATTCCATCGAATGTAATACCATACAATATGATCGAAAAAAACGGCGCCAGCGATGGCTATGAAATAAAAATCGCTGTCATTTTTATGCAAAATTATATTATGGGGAATGTAATTGATGTTCATTTCCAAGCCAAATGGACGCCGTTTTTTTCCAATCATAGAGTACTTCTGCATCGAATCCCGAAATAATATACAGGGTTTCTTTGAATGTGGTACACAATGATTTAAAATTGAAACTAAAAGAATTTTGCACTTTATTTATTTTAGTTTCAATATAATGATGTGTGTCTCACTCATTCAAAATAAGATAGTAACTTAAATAATCTCTGCACCTTTGTGGTGGATTCATTTCTTCAAAAAAGTCTTCTGGGTATTTTGCCACTGAAAGAAAATCTACAAAATAAAATAATAATTGTAGATTGCCTTTAATTATGCATTGTTGACAAATTGGTCTCCGTTAGATTAACGCAGCGGGGTTTACAAAAAATAACTATTTTATTTTGTAGATTTTCTTACAATGCCGAAATACCAACAAGAATTTTTTGAAGAATATAGTAACTTATTACAAAAAGTGACCAATCGTTCGATATTAATTTTGTCTCACCCTGTATAATTTTAAGCGTCAATTTTAAATTGTTTTATCGTACAGTGGTTACTTTGTAGCATTATTGTCGCCATTATAACATACTATACTATATAGGGCAAAGTGTAATTAAGGTAGGTAGCTTTAATTCAAATTTAAAATGTGTGCACTATTTTTAGAAAATGCTAAATATTTCAAAAACTTCTTCTTGTTTTATGATGGTTCTGCTACAAGGCAATCGCCATTTTAAAAACTTTACATTTTAGACATAAATTTCTTTAATGAAACTAATCTCAATTTTCTTCCTATAATTCGAAAATCAATAATATATAGAACGTTTCATTTGAAGCAACACAACAATAATACAGGGTGGCCCATCGAAAACGTTCCGCAAGGCATAACGGCCAGGGCCGTCAATTTTGTTTGTGAGGGGGACAACTTTTGCCCTAAAAATGATTGTAAAATCTTCAACCCTCTAGGCGAGGGTGTCATCCCCCAACTTTTTTCAAATGGGAAGGGGGGTCAAGTAGTGCCGCAATGAAAAGGGCTTTCTATTCTCTATATTTCCCCGCTTCGTTTTTAAAAATCGGTCGAGTCATTTTGAAAATATGAAGGATTGAAATTTGGAAAGTATTTTTTGCAAAAAAAAAACGCATAAATTGAATTAATTGAAAAAAACTTACCTAATTAATGAAGCAAATGCTGAAAAGGTTGCCCGCCAACCTCCATACAGTAATACAAATTATTTTCAAACTGTTCTCGAACATTCTGAAGAACTTGCGGGGTCACTTCGCGACAAACATCAATAATTCGTCTTCGCAGGTCTTCTAATGAGGCGGGTGGAGTGCTATACACTTTACTTTTTATGTGTCCCCACAGAAAAAAGTCTAAAGGAGTCAAGTCGGGTGACTGGGGAGGCCACTCAACTGCACCCCTTCGTCCTATCCACCGACCGGGAAAGTTATTGTTTAAATAATTACGCACATTTTGAGAGTAATGTGGAGGCGCACCGTCTTGTTGAAATATTAGTTCCGCTTCAACGTATCCAGGATTGTTCTCTATGATGTCAGTTAGGGCTGGGTCGATGGTATTTTCCAGTAAATCCAAGAACACATCATCTGTTAGATTTCCAGGAAGAAAAAAAGGACCCACAATAGAATTTCCAAAAATACCAGCCCACACGTTCGATTTCTGAGGGTTTTGGGTGTGCACCTCGTGAAAAACCCTGGGGTTGTCCTCAGCCCAGTATCGACAGTTGTGCTGATTAACTACACCGTTCAAAAAGAAAGTACACTCATCCGAAAAACACACATTAAATAGGAAATTATTATCATTCGCCACTCGTTCACTCATAGTTTCACAAAATTGCAAATGACGATCAAAATCGTCTTCGTTGAGTTCTTGTACCAACTGAATTTTGTACGGGTGGAACTTGTGTTTTTTTAATATCCTTTGGACTACAAGTGTCGATTCACGCCGGTCTCATTGGCTAATTTTCTTGTACTCAGCGTACTATCCATGGCAACTTCGCCCAATACGAATACCTCCATAGCTTCATTTACTACAGGATTTTCCCTCTGTCTCTTTTTATTCATAACGGAACCAGTTTCGCGAAATTTTGCTACTAACTCGCGAACAATTTTGCCATAAAGGTGTTTGTCAGGATGGCGTTCATTGAATATCTGCGCAGCCTGATTGCCACATTCATTATTTTTAAAATAAAGTTCGATTATTTCCACTCTTTCTGCAAGTGAGTACACCATAATTGTTAAAAAGTTTAACGATATTGAAAAGAACTTCAACCGCTTCAACGCACAAGTCACAGAACAGCTATCTAGCAACTACCGCACCTGATCGTTCAACTTTCTGGCAAGGAAAAAAATGCGTAAACATCTAGAAATAATAAGAAAAAACTGCAAATTGGTCGAAGGAATTTATCCTTATCGTTACTCTGATAAATGTTTAAATAAAATTTTCAAATTTCAATCCTTCATATTTTCTCAATGACTCGACCGATTTTCAAAAACGAAGCGGGAAAGTATAGAGAATATAAAGCTCTTTTCATTGCGGTACCACTTGACCTCCCTTCCCATTTGAAAAAAATTGGGGGATGACACCCCCGCTTAGAGGGTTAAAGATTTTGCAATCATTTTTGGGGCAAAAGTTGTCCCCCTCACAAACAAAATTGACGTGTTTTTGAATTTTTTGAAAAAAAAATTACCCTGGCCGTTATGCCTTGCGGAACGTTTTCGATGGGCCACCCTGTATATAACTTTTTTGGGTGCACCCTGTAGAGCTCCAAATAATTTTAAGCTATAATCAACTAAAACTCTGCATGTGTTCCAAAAACTCAGTATGTCCCAATACTTAAATAAAGGGTTGCAAGAAAAAATACAAAATCAAAATACCGGGTGCGTCTCAAAAGTGATTTTAAGATAAAACAACGAGATTTGTTATGTTAGTATATATATGAGATAAATTAGGATTGATTGACGTATTTAATTGTTTTTTGCCACTTCCTGTTTCACCGGAAATGACTACAACATTGATTTTTAAATGGCATCCTCGGCACATTTCTACTTTATTCGATAGAAAATGACACTCTAAATAGAATGACTTATCATATGTCAACTTTCAACATTTAAAAATCAAAAGTTGCAATCATTTCCGGTGAAACAAGAAGTAATAAAAAAAAATTGAATACGTCAACCAATCGTAAATCATGTGATATACTAACATATCAAATCTCGTTTTTTTATCCGAAAAAATAAAAAAATATAGGGGTGAACGACTTAGTTGAATTGCAGTCTGCTTAAATGCAGAAATTTTTTATCAAGAATAAAATTTCTGCAAAAATCACAACACACATTTTCCTATGTAGGTTCAAAATTAGTGGTCACGCTGTATAGGGTGTCCCATTTTAGTTGAAATCATACGGTATCTCCGTTATTCGCGAAGATAGAAGAGTGCGGTTTGCACAAACCTATGCCACTTTTTTGTCAAACGGAAGATGCTGTCAACAAAATTTTCCTAACCCCCTTCGTTTCTGAGCACCCTGTAGCTCAGAAACTCTTTTCCAAAATTTTGCAATTTAGGACAGCCGCCGTATCTCCGTTATTATGGATGATATCGAGAAGATGAAAACTATTGAAAACTGATTCTTGTAGAACTTTTTACGTAGAATACAGTGGCGTAGTCTGTTTTTCTACGAAAAAAATATTTTTGAAAATATGAACTAAAGTTATGTTTTTTTAAATGGAACACCCTGTATATCTATAATTCATATGATCCGCCTTGCTATGAGCTTCTCAAAAATACATATCACTCTATATTTATTTTCACTATTTACTGCAATATTTAAAATATATCATTTTCTTATTAGTAGGCCGTGATAAATTACAAAAAATCAAAATGGTATTTACTAAAATAGTCATACACACATTAAAATTTTATTTAGGTTTGATATATTTTACTTTTAAACTGTTACCAACTGAATCTCTGAATATATTTTTCTTTTTTTTATAACGGAATTTATTATAACGGGATGGGTTTGCAAATATCTAAAAGCTTGCATTATTAAAGCATTTTCCAGGTGTTCGACATTGTATTAGTTGCCACGATATATTTCATATTTCAAAAATCCCCAAAATCAGAAATCGAGAACGGACAAATCCGGGAATTCAAACCAAATCATATGGGTCCATTGGTTCCAATTCATTGATTTGACAAATAATAATTTAACAAAATTCTAATATTTTCGTTGTAACTTAAGTTGTGAGGGGGGTGGGCACATCTTGCTGAAAGTATATTTCACGTAAATTAGCTAAAGGAATATTTAAAAGTTCCGATACGATAGCTTCCAAAATTTACAAATAGCGGTAGAGAGTTAAGTTTCCTTAATATATATAGAATTTATTAGTGGCTCTCAAAATAAAACAAAAGACAGATAGCACTATACTTTTAATAATTCTTTAGATTCTTTTATTATCAATCATGGCCTACTGATAAATAGGATCCTTTAATATATATTTTTAAATAATGCACTAAATAGTGAAAATAAATATAGAGTGATATATATTTTTGAGAAGCTTATGGCAAGCCAGAT